ACCTGCGATTTTATATTAAGATGAGAAGGCTTACTTTTATTTCCAAGATGACTTACAATTTTGTAAAATAGTGCCATATTCTAATGTCAACATTAACATAGGCATTTAGGTGTAGCTTTCAGAGATTATAAACAGTATAAATCATCAAACAGCCAATTGCCTCTAAATAGCTCTCGTGCATTGCTTCGAATTTAAATAAGCCGTGTTCATTCTGTCTAAGTTTAAGAATTATGTCAGATAAATAAATCATGCTTACATCTGTTTCTCCTAAATATATTTCCTCGTGAATTGTTGTGGCTAACAAACACAGTTAACTATTCAAAAAGCTATTTATTATACGGCATATACTCAACCCAACCTCTATTTTGGGTTTTAGTATATTATAGACAATTTCTAATTAGAAAATGTTCAAACCATTTTTGTCCTTGAATATTTTTGTTCGATAAACTGTTTAAAGATTTGGATTCAAAATAAAAATTCATCATTAATTTAGTTTTCATAATTCTAGAGACAACAACAATAATATATTTCAATTGGTCATAAATTATTATCTATGATAACAAGAATTGTCAATAAAAACTTGTTTATGTGACATCATGATAATGTTAACTACTGTATTTATACAGTACTATACTGTAAATTTAGTCAAAAATCACTAAAATTTTACAATCAATACAAAATATAGTTCATTGACTAAAAAAAAAAATAATAAGAAAAAACATTTTTTTAATTAGGTTTTTATCTATTTTAAAAATTTTTAATTTTTAATGGTTTCCTAGAAAAATAACGATTTTTAATCGACCACTCTATAAATAATATAATATAAATATGAAACAAATCTCGATGATAACACTTATACAGGGTGATCGAAATCTGGTAAGACACTTATTTTCTCAGAAACTATTGAGAATTTAAAATTTGTGTAAAAAAAAAAATTATTAAGTTTATAAAACTCTACAATAATATGTAGTTAAATAATTTTTTTTGTTATCCCTTCAGGGATAACATGTTTATTTATAATTTTTTTTAATGGGAACCACTATTTTTGATTTGATAATATGATAGAAAAAAAAATTACAAATTTTGTTTTTATAATTTTTTTTATCCGAACAACCGTTTACGTTTTATAATTGTTTAAAGATTTTGACTTCCAGAAAAAATATTGTCATTTATTACGTTTCATAATATCGGTGGCAGTGCAACCGGTATTTTTGTTAGATCCTTTAGTCTTACAAAACCATAGACTTAGCTATTAATAATACACCAAAAATCCCCCGGTTTGAATCTATTATTGTTATCACTCATTTAGTGCATAGTACATTTTTATTGCTAATTTACCTGTCATAACTTAATCAATAAAATTTGGTTTATACAACAGCAAATAAAAATATTGACTTCTGTATTTAATATAGTAAAATGACAATAGAAATTTTTTAAAATAAAATCAATTAACTTTAACAAGCTGTAACGGACGAACGGTTAATCAGATAAAAAATATTATAAGAACGAAATTGTTTGTAATTTTTTTTTCTATCATATTATATAAAGTTAAAAATAAGGGTTCCCATTTAAGAATATTATAAATAAGGGTTTTTATCCTTAAAGAGACGAAAAACAAAATAGTTTGACTACATATTATTGTAGAGTTTTTTAAACTTGATATTTTTTCTCTATAATAAAATTTAAAATTCTCAAAATTTTCTGAGAAAATGAGTGTCTTACCATATTTTGATCACCCTATATATTCTGATACAATTAACATTTGGCTGTATATGTTTAAAATAATTTATGTATTATTAGACAACGTTAAAATAATATTTTTTAATATTTGTTTTTAATAATAAAAAGATTCATTAATTTTTTTCAAAATTTTAAAATAATTAGCTTACTGGATTTTTAATACAAACATTTTTAATGAGTCGATGACTATTTTAATAGAAATATTTTTCGAATTGCGTGCATTTTACATACTACTCTATACACACTATACATTAAAATGCTTGTAAATCGATAATTATTGCTCCTAAAATCCTTATTGTTCCATAAAAATGTTTTGTAAGAAAAAGGCTAAATAATTGATGTATTGAAATGTTATTATTAAAAAACTAATAAAAAATATGGTTTTAATGTAACCTAAGAATTTATAAACATTAAAAAAAAAATTACAGTAAAGTAATGATTGTATCAAAGGGTATAAGAGCTATCCGTTATATTTACTAGACCTGATCAGTCATTATATAGCTGTTCTTAAAGCTGACATTTAATTTAACGTTTTTACAACTAAAATTGAAGTTTAAAAATTTATAATTATTATCATACACTATTCCCATTTTTTCCATGTATTTATAAATAAACTTATATTTAAAAGGAATGTATTAATTTACACAAAAATGTATAATGCCCACACATTAAAAAATAAATAAATTAAAGAATAACACAAGATTTATTATAAATTTACAAATAATTTAATGACAACAACAAATTTGAGGAATAAATGCATATCGTATATATTATATTTTTTTATGTATCCAACATGTAATTATATTACTTAAACGGTAATAAATCTGGAAAAACTTTTCTTTTTTAATCTTAAAGCAAAAATAAATAGGTGTAAAACTCTTTAAAAGTTTTCAACTATATTTTTAAATTATTTTCTTGTCACGAATAAAAATATATAAACAAATTATAAAAAAATTTACTAAGAACAAAATTAAATGTAATAAGTATCAAATTATTTATTAGTCATATATTATACACGCGGATTTAAAAATAAAACAAAATATTGGAAAACTATTTTAATATAATATTTTTATATGGATTTTGTTTTTTTTTTTTTTGTATTTAAGTTGAATCATATTTATTTAATGTAGACATAATTTTTAATAAATAAAATAAGAAATAAAACACTTTTGTTACTTTTGAAATGCGAAAATATTAATTTAAATTTCATTTTATTTACCATGTACATTATATATTTATGAACCCTATAGGTAATCTAAACAAAAGACCGAAATTGAGAAAGAACATTACATTGTACTAACATTGAAACTACTTTAAAAAACTTTTAACAAGTTTCTGAAAACTTTGTTTAACGAGTGAATTCTCCACACGCTTAATTTGATTACCACATAACTACTGAAGTAATAATTTGTAGTTTCAAAACACTCAATTATAATATTCGGCCAGTAAATTAAGTACATCAATTATACATCGCTATACTTTGGATTTTGGTATCTCATTGAATTGTAATAGTTTATACGGCGTATAACTTGATGTTTTAAAATACCTTAAGTCATTTTCACTAATGAAAATGACCGCTATTTACCTTTTAGCAAACATAAACCAAAACTAAGATGATTCTATCCTCTTTTGTCTACCGAAAAATAAATAACCGGATACTTGCTTAAGGTTTATTCAAGTCGGCCCGGTGTATATAAATTCACCAATTTGAATAGTGTTATAAAAATTTTTTACTGCGAAACTACAGTTGTTCTGCTCGAACGACGTGCTTTAATATTTTACTCGTCGTAAATACACGAACACCACGTACACAGACGGCTCCTGGGGATATCTAAACATAGTAGGTAGGTAACAGATAAGTTAAGTTTCCAGTATGTAAAGTACAGTCGAAAGAGGATTAACGGACGATAAAGATCAAATACAACGTCGTTTAAAAAGTGAAAAACAAACGGCGCGTGACAAGGCACGAAAGGGCTGTGATTTTCTGATTAGCCGGGTAAACACTAATGCGACACAACAGATAATAGTATGCCTGTGTGTGTACGGAAACGACAATGGAATTTCAAAGTTGCCTAAATCCTGAACCAGACGACGACGCTGTACATGTAAACGATATATACGTATAAAAGCAATGAAACGCGCCAACGAGTTTCGAGCTGAGAAAACGATAAATCGTTTCGGTTTCTGTAATTCGGTGCCGTTTTTAAGGACGAGTGAAGTCAAACTTTATATTTTTCCGGAACTCACTTAACCGCAGAAAATGACGTTTGAATTTTGTTTTTCAAACATATTTCAGTGCTTAGAGTTTGCAAAAAACACACTGCTGATAAATCTTCTTTTTAACATTTTTCCAAAAATGTTTTTAAAAATAATGCGAAAAGAGTGGATGGATAAGAAAAATAATATTCCACTTCAAAAAGTTCTAACAATATCCGCAATTTGACGAGTGAGGGTTTTAGTGTTTTTTCTTCATCTACTGTAATATAATTTATGAGAAGTGGGTCAAAATATAATTTAATTTTATTCTGTTACGAACACGTGAAGTGTCACGAGTACGTATAATATATTGCCGTATCAAAGCACATGGTTAAGGTAGTCGGTGCCGCGTAAGGTGTTATGAAAAAATCTCTCGTTCGGCGAATTGCTGTTTTAACATATTATTTTATAATTCCAATGTGTAAGACGGAAAATGTTAGAATTTTTAAAAATTATTTTTTGCAGTTAAGTTATTATATCAACTTAACCTTCAAACATAAATCTTGAAAACAATTTTAGAGAGAAAATTACACTTCCTCACTGAGAGCAACCTTTTTTTCGCGAAATGATAGAAATATTAAACGCAGAAAAAATGGACAGTCAATAGCTGTATACTACTGTTACTTATTGTCAACTACCAGGTCTATTACCGATAATAAAATGATAAATTGTTTTATGAAGACACATGGATATAAAAACGACGTAGTCTTCAATTAAAAAAATACATGTATGACTTAATTCTTGAATACAATATGACTGACTTGAACGCAATACATTATTTATTAACTTTAATGAAAAACAATTTTTTTCATTACTCGTTCTAGGTGGAAAAACGTTTTAATTGCATAAGTACAATTCATTTTGTCGATTGTCAGTTAGCAGCTGTTTTAGTATAAGCAAAGTTTAATTTAAGTGGATGATACCAAACTCTAGCGGTGAACTTAGCACCGAAAAATGAAAATGATCGTACACGTATGTTTCTAATGTGTTGTAATCTATTTCAGATGGAAAAGTTTATATGATTGCGGTCATCTGGTAGTGATGGAGTCGATTCCAACAACAGTTGCAACAGTTTTTGCCGTAATTCTTTTGTATGTCACCGCAGTTACTGGTAAGTTATTTCTTTTGCTTATATTTTGGTTGTACATAAATGTACAGCCATTCCTGAGTTACTAATTATTGCACACTACAAAGTCGTTCCAGACGTGACAGAATGTATAAAAACAATGGCTTTGATTATTTATTTATTATTAATATTCCAGGCAATAGAAAAAATAATACAATATGTAATTGACGGCTAATTAATCTTCTTATACATCTATTAATCTACACATATCTATTATAAAATAAAACTTCTAGAGATAATTTTCTTACATTTTTTTCTTGTTTTAGGGAAACTCAGTATAGAAAAAATATTGCCACATTTCAAGAATAATAATTATTTTTAATATACTCCTATTAATACTATAATAATAAGTTCAATACATTTTGTTTATTTTTAAAATGGATCAAAAAACTTGCTGAAATTGATTTTAATAACTTGCTGTTAATTGTAACTTACTTACACATTATTGGTCAAAGATTGATTAATTCTAAACGAGTAAACACATATAAAATTGCCAAAGTTATACGTGTCAATTGAAGCATTTAAAATTGTATGACCTTAAAAATTAATTTTCCGTAAAGTCCTTAATTTTTTATCGCCAAATTAGATTTTGTTGTTATAGTGTTGTAAATGTTTGTTTGTCTTCATATTTGCCTGTAGTAAATTAATTTATTTGAATGTTATTTGAAGCAGCCAAAAACATTAAAGTTTATAAGTATATTTATTTATTTCATTGGCCGTAAATAAATATGATATTAGTAGTTTAATCATTGTTCTTTTTTCAAAAAGATAACTTAAAAAAGTTACAAAATATTATTTTAGTGGTCAAGTTTAGAGCTTGTAAGATATTAGATTAAAATTGAAGTATAAATAATTAATAAATACATTCTCAGAAAAAAAAGGTAAAGAAATTAAATCCTCCAAACTTGATCAATAGTATATAACACAAAAAAACTTAAAAATATTTTAATTATTTATAATTTACTTTTTAAATACAATAAATGTTTTAAAAACTTCTGGAAATTATCTAAACAAATTTGGATCTAAAATATACAGTAAAGTTGTAATTATTTAGTTAAAATAATTCTATATAGACAGTGTAAATTTATGCATGATAATTAATATCAACCAATTCATTAACACAAATGAAGATTATTGATTTTACAAATTCTTACTTTTACAATTAGTTGACCACTAGTAAGATAAATACCCAAGTGAGTAGAGTATATACTGAACCCTTTTTAGCTAACTATCGAAATCATTAAAATTATTATAGTGGTTACAATAACGTGGGGGGGAGGTATAAAATAGAATAACTGTGTTATTTACAAGATACTGTTCTTAAATATTTAACTCGCGGGTAATGGATACGCACGATTAGTGTTCATGAATTAGTTACAAAATGTCCGATGCACAATCGCCTTACACAAAGCTAGACAAAGGCCATAAATAATTTATGATAATAGTATGCGCATACTTCAAGTCCTAAGTATTTGAGTTCTCAATACGATAATTACTTAATATTGAGCCCATTTAAGATAAACTATTAAAATTATATACCATAAAATGTATAATATACGCATAAGCGCAATTAGGTGGGCTAGAGGAGGCTTAGTCCCTCCAAAAATGTAGATAATTATGTATCCTAAATTATGTAAAGTATTTCATAGATTGGGGAGAAAATACAATTAGCACCCACAACATTTTTTTTTTAATTGTGCTTATGGATATATGGTTATAATAGTAACATTTTTACTACAAAAAAAAGTGTTAAAAAATGACGGATAAGAAGTATAAACTTGCTCCTGATTCATTATTGAGTTATTTATTTGTACTTAATTTCTCCTAGTTCAAGAATTAGGATTGAAAATTGTTTTTAAATTAATTTTTGTGTTTGGTTGACCTCAGATTATCCATAAATTAGACTATTAAAAATAATTTTTTCTAAAACTATAAGGTAATTGACCTTACAGTTTTGAAAACTATAAACTATAAACGATCAAGTGAATCATAGTTTTAGATGTCTAGTAAGGCCATACATTAAAGTGAAATAAAAACATAAAATAAATTATTAAATAAATAATACATATATGTCATATCTGTTCTTTTTTTTCAACTGTTAGGATGGTTAAAACCAATTGGATTATTTATATCCTAGGGAAGTTTTTAAGTGCAGTGGTTTCCCGTTTTGTACTGAAAACGTAGTGCTTTTTGCACATGTGTGGTCACTCATCCGTTCATCTACGGTATTTAAAATTCATCAGGCGCGGCTTAACAATAGAATTTAGCAACACCACACTTTATATCTGTTTTAATTTTACAATTTTTTTAGTTATGATCTGTTCAATTGACTGATCTATAAGTAAATCTTATTAAAAATGTAAACAGAAATGGTTTTATTGCACGAAACAATGCCATTATGCGCATAAATAATTATTGGTGTTCACAATAAAGGATTAATGAAGTTTGTTAGAAATAAAACAGTAATCTTTATTATTTAGTATATTCGTTATTAACTTTTACGCTGCCATAAAATTATAGTAGAGTGAATAGTAATTACTTGTTGTATAAACGGACCAAAACCATTTAATAACAGACAAAAAAGTTCAAAGACATTTATTTGCTATAAAATTGCATTGTCTCGACCATACCTGGTGATGTAGTAATATATGTCTGTTGTTCTTACCACTAAAATCTTCCGAGTGCGCTTTAGGCGCAACCCAAAGATAAGTTATCCCAATGTGGTTAGTATCTAACAAAACGATAGCCAGGCGTTAAAAATAATTCGAAATAATAATATTCGAGTGGGTATAATGTTGAAGTAAAACGTTTTCCATGCTACGTTTACAGGTTATACAATAAAAACGAAACGGTTAGAGTTTTAATTTATTAGATTTTCGGATGACTTAGTAATTTTTATTTATTTTGTATTATTCAATTTAATGGCTTAAGTTTTCAATTTCTTACCGCATATTGAGCTTACAAAAACTATTTGTTAACATTGTCGATGAAAAATTTACACCTGATTAGTTAATATGTCAAAAATTCTGTGTAATGCATGTATTTTATGTATTTGAAAAATATATAAAAATAGTAATTTATTAAGTTAAAACCCAAAAAATTATAATTAATACTATAATAAATTTGTTTTAATTATTATAATTTTGTTTTAATATAAACTAATACAGACAAATAAGTATACTTGGGTAGGTAGTTAAACTAGGAACATTTAAATATCAATTATCATTTTAATTTTATAAATCTATATCACTAGTTTAATTTTTACAAGCACAACTAAGAAAAATAAAAAAATTGTGTAAAAATTATATAATGAAATATTTAAGTGTCTCAAGTTTAAGTACCGTCCTAATTTGGCTCATTGATGGTACTAACAATATTTATTTTCTTCAAAAAAGTATTTTATTTATTTAAATTTATTGAAGATCTTTAATACATTTATAATGAATTATAAAAATAGTTATAATCTTTCGATAAAGTAAGTCATTATAATTTGCTAGGTATGAATAAATAGTTAATTTATTAGAACCGAAAAAAAAAAATTTTTAAAAAGAAAACTAAACAAATTTTAGTTGAACTCAATAAAAGTAGTGTAGTGAATCAAAAAAAGAAAATAATAATATTGTTTGTTGTTTGAAAAGGGGGGTGTTACTTGTATTAATTTAGAGAATACTTTGACAGTTGCTTAAAAGAAAAAAATTAAATAGAATATGACGGGATTTGGGTTCTTATTTGATCCACTACTTTATTGTATTAATAATATTATTACACGGGGTATGAGTACGAGGGTCTGTAAGAAAGATAGAAGATGATAGAAAAAAATAAAGTGTTCTTTATTTTATTAATGTAGGGTTCATTATAATTAATTGTCAATTTTTTAAATATCAATAATGCCACGAGTTTTGACTGTTATCGATGATACGTGGGATTGAGTCACCACGTGTGTCTACCCAGAATGGCTATACATATGAACCTCCAACCTAACTCTTGAAATAGACACGTATCAACGATATAATTCTGCCAAGTAACTCTGTACAAACATTATCGATTTATTAAATTTACTTGGTATATTTATTATTATTGTTAATCACTTGATTTTCCTGTATGCCTACTTGATCTATGTACTCATAAAATTTAATTCTAAACCTTATTTATTTTTGGTGAATTTATTAGATTCCTACCTTGATATTTTCTGCTATACTCTTAAATAAATATATGTTCTATTTTTCTTTGAACAAATATCACTTCTTGCATATATTTCGTAGTGTACATGAAGCGTAGTGAATGTCTCTGTAAATATCTGATTGCATCTGTCTCAGAATGCTCTTTATTTTTGGCTTTTTATATTAATTTTTTGATCGTGGTTCAAAGGCAAGAAGTGATCAGCGACGCCACCGTTATTTCTTTATTAATCGTAATTTATTACATGTTATTTATTACATTTTCATCAATAATGATCTACATATTATAAAATACTATATATCTTATATAATAAATTAGACATAGTTTATTACCCTTCATCTTATGTACTACCATTACATATTGTTTATTATTTCCTATTTGTTTTATATAATTAATATATGCTTTTTTCTACGAAATTTCATTAGTATATTTAAACATTTAAAAGGTACATATATATATATATATATATATATCTTATTTTTATTGGTATACATTTCATTTTGTGTGATTGATTGATTGATTGAAGTCTTAAATAATACATTATAACATTAATGATGTACTATGTATATCTTTACAGTAGTTCTGTCATAAATTTTTAGGAATTAACTTTCAATGTAAAAAAAAAAAATCAAATTGTATAAATTTGTAAGTGCATAACTTTTTGTTGAACCAAATCTTCAGAAAATCAACAATTATCTTTTTTTTTAAGAATACATCGCAAGTCTTTTATTTTAAGATGAGATAAAGAAATACTTTGTAAATAACTTTTTTTTAATTTAATTTCCTTTTCTAAGACCATTTGGAAA